ACTTCTGCAATGACAAGAGGTGCTCAAAGTGGTTACCATCAGCGTCCAGACACTTCTTTATGGCGAACTACTACTATCTGAGCAACATTGACCAAAGTGTCCATTTGTATACATTTTTTGGCACTCCCGGTTTATATATTTATATTTATATTTATATTTATATTTATATTTATATTTATATTTAATTTAACACAGAACTTAATAAAAGGGTAATAAATGGTTGTTTTAGTCAGTATTGGCAAAAATACTAATGGACATGAAGCTGCTGCTGCTGTTGATGGTGATATTAGTGGGCGATGATTATGGTGATGATGATGATATTAGTTTGCTTGGGCTGCCATAACAAAATACACAGACTAGCCTCTCACAATTTTGGAGGCCATTAGTATGCAATCAAGGTGTCAGCAGGATTGGCTTCTTCTAAGGCCTCTCTCCTTGGCTTGTCCCTGTTTCTTCACAAAGTCTTTTCTCTGTGCCTGTGTCCAAAATAACTTCCTCTTCTTCCAAGGACACTAGTCACATTGGGTTAGGGCCCACCCTAATGGCCTCATTTTAACTTAATTACATTTTTTTAAAGCCCTGTTTCCTAATATGGTCACATTCGTAGGTACTAGGGGTTAGGGCTTTGGCCTATGAATCTGGGGGACATGATTCAGCCCATAACAGTGATCATGTGATGATGATGATGATGAAGATAGTGTTGACAGTAATGTTTCCTGGAGTAAAGGGCCATGGCTGGGCCCCTTGTGACGTTCCCTTCTTCACTTCTCCCTTTCTCTCACTTTCTATTGGTTGCATTCAGGTTTTTCAGGAAGGGGGCACGGAATTCTGTCTCCCCTTTGTGGACTGCATTCTTCTTGTCCACCAGACCAAGGGATATGGGGTGGACTGAGGACAGTAGCATTGGGTTTGTCTGTTCATAGCCATGACCAACATGGAAACCCAGGTTCTCCTTTGAAAATATATTTTCATCATCCACGATGACTTGTACCCATGTATGTTAGCATCTGAACCAAACTAAATGTAAGGAACAGAACTGACATTTTTGTGCGTGTAGTTTTTTTCTTTTAAGTTAACTATTACAAAGAGTCTAATAACTCAGCTCCTATGAAGACTTGATTGTACTTGTACCGTTCAATAGCCTAAGAGTTTTTGCTTTATTCTGTATAGCAGATGAGATCTTACAAAAATCCTCATCAAATTCAATTTGTATCTTAATACACGTACCGCACTAAAGAAGTCAGTGGTGAAATCTTCAGGTAATAACCGTATACCTAGCCAGTACCTAATATACCTGTTTACAAGCCCAAAACGATATATTCCATTTGTGTAAAGTAGGAGACCTTTCTGTAGAGTTAAAAGACCTGGATTTTATTCCCAGTTCAGGTGCGTGTTCTTGGACCGTTTTTTTTTTTTTCTTCCCCTGAGCCTCAGTTACTTCATTGAGTACTTCACTGAGTACTTCACATAACACAAAAAGGAGGTAATAACTGTACCAGCTTTATAGCATGATGGTCAGAAATAAGTGAGATGGTTTTCATAAAGCATCAGGAGCAGTGCCAAGGTCAAGAAGGTCTTCAATGAAGGTTAATTCAGAATAGAATTCCACAGGTCAAAATTAGTAATAGTTCTGTACCTTCCCTCCTATCTTGTAATGGGGACTCCTCCAGATTTCTCATAGCCACATTAAGAACTAGGCAGGTTGGTACCAGAGTTAGGAGTGAAGCCTGGAGAAGCAAATCCAAACCAGAGTAGCTGGTCTTTTCAGCTCCTCCTGAAGCCCTGCCCACCACTGTGCTGCTGACATTGGTTCGTCACAAAGCCTTCAGCCCATCTGTTCTATATAAAGTGTCCCCTTTTCATGAAAAGGAGGCAGAATCCATTCAGATGATTTCAAAAGGAAAGAACTTTTTAGCTTTAGAATGTAGTGATGTTTCATTTATGTGTGATTTACTGGGTTGAAATTGTATTTGATTTTAAATAAGTAATTGTAGTTTTAGAGCCAAGTATACCCCCACACACACACACTCACATTCACATTTACACACGTTCTCACTGAGATGTGTCCATTGGATACAACTGTAATTAAAACTGCAAAGAGGGAATTGTCAAAAAGCAGTAAGTGCTGCTATATGAAAGGTGTATTGTTCCCTTTTGTTTTTTCGTAAAGTCATCAAGAACTATTCCTGACAGAACTGTTATCCTAGTTAAGTAATTTCAACAATTTTCAAGATGTTTCCTTAAACTAGTGGGCGTCACATCTCTGGAACTAGATTAACAGGGAAGTCCAAACAAGCTTTTTCTCTAATAATATCCTACAGTTAAACTGCCCTTGACAGCTTATGAAATGAGCTCTCATGCATTCTTTAATTTTCACACCAACTCTGTGAGGAAGACAGGATAGGTTACTATGTACCCCCCACATATTAAGTGGCTTACTTGCCTAAGTTCCTAGCAAGTGGTAGTGCCAGGACTCACACCCAGTTTCTTCACTTAGCAGCCATTTAGGGAGCACATAGCATGTTCCAGGCAATAGTGGGGATGTGAAAGAACAGGCTGTGATCCCGCCCTCAGGATGCCCTAGTCCAGCGGGAAAGACAAGCCAGTATGCAGCTGTGATGCAGTGAGAGGAGTCTCACAGTGGAAGTTTGCAGACAACATTAGGAAGCACCACGGAGTAGCACCCACACCAGCCTAGGGAAAGAAGAATCCAGAGAAAGCTGCTCGGAGTAGGTTCCCATCGGCTTCAAAGTGCGAGGTATCCAAGGCTTAGGGTAGAGAGCAGGAGAACATTGTAGGCAGAGAAAATTGTAAGTTCCATAATACAGAGATGCTGGAGAGCATGGATTGTCAGGAAACTGTAAGTCGCTTGGAATGCTGGGATAGCGGGACAAGGGGAGCGGCAGAGGGTGGGTTGGACAGGGTGCTGGGGTTGGACCTTGTGGCCCATATTTAGGACTCTGGCCTGTATTCTGGAGGCAGTGGGGAGCCACTGAAGGGCTTTGAAGAGGGCCGTGATATTCAAATTCCATTTTAGAAAGGCCGTTCAGTCACAGAATCGACCTTCTTGCTGGAGGGGGCAAGAGGAGAGGCCAGAGAATGAAGAGGGGGCTATTAACTACATTTCAGCAGTTAAATGATAAGGGTTGTGCTAAGTCATTGGGGGCAGAAAGAAAAGGAAACGCATAGTCAGTTAGGAGACTTGATACATTTAACATTTATGTGGGTTGTGTTTATCTATCCTATTTTCTCCCCCTTCTTTATGGGCAAACCCCTTTCTCTCCCATCCTCCAAGTGAACCACCCTAAATTTCTTGCTCTAACCTGAACCAAACCCAAAGATGTTTAAGCTGAGACAGGTGGACTGGAATGAAAACCACAGCTTCCAAACCACAGCCTCCAAAATGAACCTAAACCAAATCAGTATTTTACAGGGTTTGTATTCCTAGCAGGCAGTTCGGTTTAATCCAAAACAAGCTTTGTGGTCAGAAAGAATTTGAAAGAACAGCAAAGGGAGAGGCGGCCTGTGCCAAGGACCCAGAGGAGGAAACGCCAGGCAGGTGGGGAGAAGGCTGCTTGTAAGAGCAGCTTGCACTGAGGATTATATTGCTCCTTTCAACTCTATACATTGGATTTCCTTATTAGGAACTGGCTTTAAGGAGTAAAGCATTAGCCTTAGGCCAGCGGTTCTCAACCTGTGGGTCGCGACCCCTTTGGGGGTCAAATGACCTTTTCACAGGAGTCGCCTAAGACCATCGGAAAACAAAAAGATATTTACATCACGATTCATAACAGTAGCAAAATTACAGTTATAGAGTAGCAACGAAAATAATTTTATGCTTGGGGGTCACCACAACATGAGGAACTGTGTTAAGGGGTCGCGGCATTAGGAAGGTTGAGAACCGCTGCCTTAGGCACTGGCAGCCTCAAGGATTTTAACATTTTTTCATGCTTTTCCCCCAGCCGAGGTCCCCATGGGCGAAGTAGTGGAGCTTCCTCGCACACGTCTGGCAACAGCCCGCCGTCCCCGCGAGAAAAGGACCTTCTGTCCATGCTGTGCAGGAATCAGCTGAGCCCCATTGCCCTTCATCCCAGTTATGCGCCTTCCTCCCCGAGTAGTAGCAACTCCGGCTCCTACAAAGGAAGTGACTGCAGCCCAATCATGAGGTGAGCGCTGGTCATCAGTCCATGGGTCTTAGTTTGTCCTAGTTGGTAAGTTTTCTTAAAAAAAAAAAAAAAAGTTACGTAACTCTTGATCTGTTGCCTTTTTCTGTAGTAAGACATTTCTCTTTCCTTTCGTCCACTCAGCTAATAATACTTCAAGGGCTGCTGCAGAAAGAACATAAGCCAGAATCTCTAATAAGGTTCAGCAGTCCAAGTAGCGACTGGATAGGGAGGGAAAATGGCACAGTGGCATTAGGAGGGTCCTGCACGTTTCCCTTAGAACAGGGAAGAGTCACTTATCTTCATGCATTCAATACCAGATATGTATTGAGTACCACGTTGTGCCAGGTACTGTGTGAAGTGCTAGGAACAGAGCAGTGAACCACAGAGACAGTCCCTATGCCTACAGCCCAGAGGAGAAAAAAGATGTTACCCATCTAATGACAAGAACGTATTTAGATTCTTCTGCAAGGACATGTGTATATAAAAGGTGGGAGGGGGTCCAGCTTGGTCTGGAGGGATCAGAGGAGGCCTCTCTGAGAAAGTGAAATTGAAATGAGATCTGAAGGTCAAACAAGGAATTAGTCCTTGTGGGGTGGCGGTGGGGAGGTAGAAAGAAGGAACTGCACATCCAAACGGGCCGTGACTGGCAGGCTGGGAACTGGACTCGGGCCACCTTGGATGGAGTGTAGGCACAGGGGGCGCAGGGGGAGTGCAGTGGCTTGGGCTGGGCCCAGCGTCAAGGAAAAAGCTGCCAGCTCTCCTCCTTCAGCCTTCTTCCTCTCGGAGTCCTGTTCTCCTTAGTCAGCTGTCCTCCAACGGGGTGCTCAGCTGTGGGCCAGGACGGACAGAGGCCAAGGTCCCGGCTAGGGGTGTTGGGTAGATCACTGGGCACCTCGCTTGCAAAACACACTGCGGTGAGAGTGGAGTAGCCTTGTTCCCGTCAAAAGAAGGAAACTTTCCTTCTTTTCCACCGAATCAGCACACTCATGCCAAGGACTGATTTCGGAACAATTTGAATTCAACTAATAACAATCAGGATCTTAGGGGTGCATTGTGTGGAAAGTTAGGTCATCTCGCTCCCTTCCTTCCCTCCCGCCTGCCTCACTCTTTGTCCTTTAATATAACAGTATGTTACTCTGAACGGACAGGTGGGCCTATGGACAATTGTGCATTATTTTGTATGAGATCATTCCGAAGCCATAGAAAACCCCCTCTCCCCTGTCCTTACCCCTTCCACAAAACCCCCCCACACCACCCCGGTCCAATCTTCCAAATAATGAACATCCTAAGATTGGCAGGTGGAATACAGACCCCTTCCACAGTGAGGTCACATATTACAGAGATTTAGCAAGACCCCAACATACAGCTGCCATTCCTTTTCAAGCTGTTGGCTGTGCCTTAACTTTTCTCTTTATACAAAAGGAAATAGAGCAAAAAGTAACATTTCATTACTTGGGTCGTTCCAGGCGGTCTGGAAGGTACATGTCCTGCGGTGAAAATCATGGCGTCAAACCCCCAAACCCAGAGCAGTATTTGACTCCTTTGCAGCAGAAAGAAGTAACAGTGAGACACCTGAAGACCAAGCTGAAAGAGTCTGAGCGCCGACTCCATGAGAGGTGAATCTGCGTTCTTTGCCCCTGGTGGTTTAAGATGGCTTCTTTTTCTAGAAGATGAAATAGGAGCCCACACTAGAGAAAAATAGAAAAGAAGAAATGTGATTGCATTTCATGTTTGTCAGATTTCTTCAATCAGTCTCTCAAAAGAGCCATTTCATAATCTTGCATGATTTGGCTGTTTCAGGAATTTTTCAGGGTTAAAGGGGACCGTCTGCTTTTTCTGGGTGCGTCCAGCTTCGACACTGAGGAGTTGGGTGTGTGCCTGACTATTTTTAAGTGGCAGGAACACTTACAGGAACAATCCCTACTTGCAGCAGAATGGGTCACACACAGCGAGCTCCTGTTAAGCTCTGTTTAGCTCTGTGAGAGAGTGCATGGCTGTGTGCATTGTGATTCCTGCAAGCTATTTCTGTGCTAAAGGAAGAGGTTCGTTATTCTTGGCCAAGTGTTAAGGTTAAAGAAAAAAAAAAAGTCCATGTTTAAGAGATCTTATCTCGGAGAGAAAAGACCTTTGACCTCTTGGAGGAGGCCAGATTCTCTGCTTGATGGTTTTCCCCTGGAACACTTTAGGATGGACACACAGAGCTCTGACAGGGTAGCTGTGAGCCCAGGGTAATTAATGGTGCCATGAGTCAGACACTACTTTCTGGAAATCTTTGCTTTATGATTTCAGGAAACCATGGGATGGCTCAAGCCATCATGGGAGGGAGGTTTGAAGGCAGTGAAACTGGAGAATATTCAAGCCTAAACTTATAGCAGCAACACTAACAATATCTCATATAGTATATCAGGATCCTAACTACCTGGTCTTCATATCTACTGAGAATATGAGGACATGTATTTACATTGACTATGAAGAACTTCTATGTATTTCACAAAGTCTTTGCAACATGTAGCATTCTATGATTTAAAAAAAAATTGTCATCGGAATATGATCAGAACAACTTTGCAATGCTAAAACTTAGTCTGCCTTCTGTCATACATAGGTAATTAAAACAGAAATGGTCTTTCCTTCCACAAACTGTAGGCATAAATGGGTAGGCTATGGAGAAGAAAGCAGACTAAGGGACTGATGTGTTCTAATAATAATATTTCAAATATTGAATGTTGAATAGAGGATAATGCTTATGAAGGACTCAATGCAATCTCTGACACGTATACTGAGCACTCAAAAAAGAATACAAACAATAGTAGCAGTTTTTATTCTGATTCTAGTTACTGTTATTGTAGCTGTTGGGTTGTCGGAGAAGTCACGATGCATTTTTGCAACGAAAAACAGAAAAAATACATCGTGACTTTTCAGACAACCCAATATTTTACGATTGCGGGGGCGGGGGGAGGGCAGTTCAAAACTGCTTTAACCTCTGTGTTTCAAGTGGAAAAGAACGGGCTCTCCCTTCTGTGTGTCAGAACTGCCCGCTGCCTGGTTCAAAGTTGACATTTTTCTTAGCCTGGCTTATCTTCTCACTCTAGGGAGACGGAAATTGTGGAGCTTAAGTCACAGCTGGCCCGCATGAGAGAAGACTGGATTGAAGAAGAGTGCCACCGGGTGGAGGCCCAGCTGGCCCTCAAGGAAGCCAGGAAGGAGATTAAACAGCTCAAGCAGGTGATCGAAACTATGAGGAACAGCTTGGCTGATAAGGATAAAGGCATTCAGAAGTACTTTGTGGACATAAATATTCAAAACAAGAAGTTGGAGTCACTGCTTCAGAGCATGGAGATGGCGCACAATGGCTCTCTGAGGGATGAACTGTGTCTGGACTTTCCATGTGAGTCCCCAGAGAAGAGCTTCACCCGAAATACCCCGTTTGGCAAGATGGCAGATGGGCTGTCTCTGGAAGAGCAGGTCCCAGAGGAAGGGGCCGACAGCGAGCTGCTGGTGGGAGAGAGCATGGCCGACGGCACCGATTTGTTGGATGAGATGGTGACAGCCACCACCGCAGAGGCTGGCGACCTGGCGCTTCTTCATTCCACCCTTGGGGCAGAGGTGTTTGAGACCCTCCCCATGGCGGTGGGCCGGGAGGAGGGCGGGGTGGTGGTGGAGCAAGCCGTGCAGACCGACGTGGTGCCCTACAGCCCTGCAGTCTCGGAGCTCATCCAGTACGTGCTCAAGCTCCAGGAGGCCTGGCCCTCCAGCTCCGCATCCCCGGAGGAGTCTGTGGCCGACTCCACAGAAAGCTTCCCAGAGTCCATCTCTGCATTCCTGGTGGATTTAACTCCAAGGAATCCAAACTCAGCCATCCTTTTGTCTCCCGTGGAGACACCACACATCACGGTGGGCACGGAAGCTCATGCAAACCGCCTCATGCGAGAGCTGGATTTTGCAGGCTCCACAGAAGAAAGATGGGACGCCATCATCCCGTTGGCCCCGGGGGCCGTGGGGAGACAGTACTGGAGCAGCAGTTTCCTGGTGGATCTCCTGGCCGTGGCTGCCCCCATGGTCCCCACTGTTCTGTGGGCATTCAGTACTCAGAGAGGGGGGACGGATCCTGTCTACAACATCGGAGCCTTGCTCCGGGGCTGCTGTGTGGTGGCCCTGCATTCTCTCCGCCGCACCGCCTTTCATATCAAAACCTAGATACGAAGTGATTGTTTCCGTGTGCCATTCTGTCCCGTGTGGCGTTGTGTTAGGTGGAGAAGCAGCAGGTCGACCTGGGACAGTGTCTGTTCTGTCGTGTTGCTCCTCGGTATTGGATTTGCACTATATTTAGTTGAAGCCTGTTCACTGTTGAGAACTGGAGGTATCTTCAAAGGCATGGAGACCTGGTTCAAGTCGATGTCCCACCAGTGTGGTGTAGAAAGCATGCTCATGACCCTGCCGTGTCGTCTGAGGTGCCCGTTCTTAGCCTAGTGGTTCAGGAAGAGAAAATGCAAAGTTTGCACTATCAAGACAGCTTCTGTAAGGCTGGCATGTTATCTCCTTGCTTTGCTTTGTGCCGTTTTAAAATGTGTGATTGTTCCAGCATTCCAATGGTCTTGTGCATAGCAGGGGACTGTAACCAAAAATAAACGTGTATTTGTGTAATTGGTTTGAAGACGTCTTGACTAGTTCTTTAGTGTCTTACTTGGGGGTGATACGGTTTGAGTGTTTGCAGTTTTTTACTAAATGTAGCTCCAAAGTCCTTAAAATGGCCCGTTTGTTCTTAAACCTGTTAATTGATGAAACTGTATGTAAGTTTACAATGTATTAACTTATTTTTTGCTTATTATATATAGTGTTTTATTGGAAATTGTTTGTAACCACCCACTTCAGCATGATGAAAATAAAGATTAGTGTTTCCAGTTAAATAAATGTTTTATCCTCCTATAAAATAATTATCTCTGTAGTTTTACTTCTATATATGACCAGAAAGATAGTAGGATAGTAGATCCTTCCATAGTTATCCATAGTGGTCTGTAAAAGTAGAATTAACTTAAGAAATTAGAAAGAAGGAAAATATTTATTAAGATAAGAATTTCCTACCCTGTCTTTTTTTAAAAAGATTTTATTGGGAAATTGGAGAAAGGGAACAGCCAAGTTGTTGTCCTTCAATCTTAGTTGTGGAGGGTGCAGCTAGTTCAGCTCAAGGTGCGGTGTTCAATCTTAGTTGCCAGTGGGCATAGCCCACCATCCCATGCGGGAGTTGAACCATCAACCTTGTTGTTAGGAGCACGTGCTCTCACCAGCTGAGCCATCCTGCCACCTGTTGGCAGCTCAGCGGCAGCTCAGCTCGGGCGCAGCTCACTGTCCCATGTGGGAGTCGAACTGGCGACCCTGTTGCTCAGAGCTTACGCTCTTAACCAACTGAGCCATTCGGCCAGCCCTCCTACTCTGTCTTTTAACAAGCATTGTTTCTGAATAAAAATACCTTGTTGTTTATTTGCTTTTAAATTACCCATACACTTGTCTGCCTATACATTTATACAGTAAGGATATGTTGAGTGTTTTCAGGAAAGTTGAGATTTGGTTTTTTTTCAAGCATGTTAAGGGTGCAGAGAGGGAGGATATGCTAGTACTGTATGCCCTCCTCCCTTTGGAATAAGAGGGTGAGGTTGGGTGGCTGGAAAGGGATGAGATCATATTTGATCTATATTCAGTTATTCTTCACACCAGTCTTAAGAGGTGGGTATTATTCTATTTTACAGATAAGGGACTTGAGCCTCAAAGAGGAGAATTGCTCAGGATATTATAGTTCATCTCTGGAAGCCAAGATTTCAAGTGTCTGCAAAGCAAATGCCTTTTCCACTTAACACACAAAGGGATGAGACCTGGAGAACATCTGAAGTTCTCATCCAGAAACTCTTCTTCCATAGCACTGATCGCCTTTAAACATATTCATTTTTACCTACTCTGTCTTGGTTATTGCCCATTCCCCACTAAAATGTTAGCTCTTTGAGGGCAGGGCTATCTGTGTTCTATTTTGTTCACAGATTATGTCAACTTAGAGCCTTATATGGCACATAGTAGGGGTTCTAACAACAGCTGTTGAATGAATGAACTCATTCAACATGGGTGGGTGGTTGTTTACCGGGCTAGGCACTTGACTGGGTTAGTCATCAATAGTGAAGGAGACAGACAAGGTTTCTGCCCTCGGGGAGCTATTATTCTGCCTGGGAAAGACAAAGACTATACCAACACGTGTCCAAGACCATTTTAAATAGTGGTAAGTGCTTCCAAGGAAAAAAACAAGGTGTTTTGATCAAGAGTGACGGGGAAGGTAAGGAAGACTTCTCTGAAGAAATAACAGTGCTAATGGATGAAAAAGCTGGTCACGTGAAAATATGGGGAATCCATTGTTGCAAAAAGAACAAATGCAAAAGCTGGGAGGCAGAAAAGGGCTCAATATGTTATAGGGGCATCGAGGAGGCCAGTATGGCTAGAGCTGAGTTAGGGGGAGTGGGGTTTGGAGAAGTGGACAAGCTATCACATATGGGCCATAGTAAACCATGGTAGGGTTGGTTTGAATGCATTCCCTGTGCAAGGAGAAATATTAACAGGCTTTAAACAGGACAATGATATAATCTGGTCTCCTTCTGCCCCCACTTCAAACCTTCACGACCACAACCCCTCTGGCTGCAGGCAGGAGTGGAAGCAGGGAGACCATTTAGGCAGCTATTGTAACTAGTCCAGTGAATGATTATGACAATTTGGAGGTGGAAGTGGATATAGAGATTGAGTTGAATAACTAAAGCTATAGCTTGAAGACAAGACTGCTATGATTTGCTGATAAATTAGAGGTGGGGAGGGGGTGAGGTAGGGTTTTAAGACAAAGAGAAATCAAGGATGATTTTCAGGTTTTTAGCCTGAGCTATGGTGGCGCCAGTGGTGGTGCTATTTACTGAGACTATAAAGAGGTCAAGAGAAAAAAGTTTGGGAAAATAAATTTGAGATGTCTACTGCGTATCTGTGTGGAAATGTCAAGTGAGTAATTGCATACGTGGATGTGAAAAATCACGGGAGTTGTCAGGGCTAGAGTTTTTTATAAAATTGGGCTCCTTCGGCATTTATATGCTATTGTATTTAAAATCGTGAAATGGATGAAATCCTCCAGGGCAAGTGTAAAAAAGAAAAGAAGGGCAAAGACCGAGTCCGGGGCACTTCCACATCTGCACAGAGGTAGAGAGTGAAGAACGAACAAAACAGCTGAGAAGAGGCAGCCCAAAGGTAGGAGGCAAACAAGGTGAATGCAGCATTATGAAAACCACGAGGGGTGTGACTCAAGAGTGGAGTAGTCAACTGTGTTGAAATCCTACCAAGAAGTTGAGTAACATGAGAAGATACATGTCCACTGGCTTTGACAACAGAGCCTTAGTGACTGTCAAGGTCATTTCTTTGGGGGAAATGGGGATGGAAGCCAGATGGGAGTGGACTGGAGCGTGATGAGGAGAGAGAAAGTAGAAATTGACATGTGCAGCCAGTCTTTTTAAAAGTGTTTTACTGTGAAGGGGAGTAGGGAGGCAGGTGGTAGTTACAAGGGGAAGTGAATGACAGGGGTTTGTTTTATTTTTCAATATCGAGAAGAGCTAGAGCAAGTTTACATGCTTTGTGATTGAGCCAAAGAAGAGAAGGAAACTGATTACGTAGGAGAGAGAGGAGTAACTGAAGAAGGGAAGCCTTGAGCAGATGAGAAGGGATAGGATGGCGGGCAGGAGGTGTACATGTGGAGAGGGGTGGTTTGTCTCTGAAAGGCCATTGCTTCTATTGGAATACACGTGGCACACACATGGACAGTTACACAGCACACAGCAGTAGAGGGATTTGGCTGAAATGGAAAGGAAACTATTTCTGGAGGTGAATAACCGGAATTGTCTCAAAATAATGAGCCGTGCTGACTCAGGTCCCTTCCTGTAGTCCAGCCCAAACCAACACCTAGATGCTATCTTCTTCCCAGTGCCTCGTTGTGTTTATTTTTGTTGCTAAATTAACACATTTTTACTTTAAGAACTGACATTCAACATTATATTAGTTTCAGGTGTACAGCATCGTGGTTTAGTCATTTATATAATTTATGAAGTGATCCCCCCAATTAGTCTTATTTTTGGTCTCCACTTGTTGCTACAGAAATGACTATAAACCACACCCACTGAGCACTGTTCTTCATCAAATCAAGATGGATGGCAAGATGGGCTCTGGTAGAGAAGAATGCTCCAGGAACCACAAATATGTATGTTGTTTATCAAATAGGAGGCTGCCGATCACGAATAGCAAATTGCTTTGTTGTCTTAATGACCTGTATCCTTCTTTAAACTGAAAGATTCAAAGTTAACTCGTTTGAAACACTGGACACTGCACATCCTTTCCACCCTGAAACAAATTTGTGTAGAGGTAAAACAGGAGGTCCTGGAGCCGTTACTCTGTTTGACTTCCCCCACACCCTTCTGCAGGATTTCGGTGTACAGTCTGTGTATAGACTGTGGAAAATTACTGCTTTTATTCAGAACCAAGTCTGTCCCAAATGAGTCTTGCCTCATAAAAGAGATGGAACATAGCTTGCCTTTCGGAAGCCCAAGGCGTTGGCTGGTTTTGTGGACAGGATGATCTTAACTCAGAAAGAAGCGCCTCAAAGTTGCTTTCCGTAACATGGGTGCCTGTGATGTACAAACAGGCAGGAAAATGGAAAAAATAAGAACAATTCCACCCAAGTGAACAAACTGCTGTCCCATCAAAGCAAATATTAAGCGTTTCCTACAGTTGTGTGTGCAAACATTCCAATTTATAAGAAAAGATTTTCCCCAAAGGGATATGCTGACCTTTCCAAGTTGAGCTGTTCAGAAATGGGGAGGAAAAATGCAGTGCACTCAGATGCCAAGCGTTTCTGACATTTGTGGCAGAAAAAGGAAGTCTGTGATTTGCATTTATCATAGGCCCTGCCTCAGTAGTGGTTGGGTCTGATATGTTTTTCTCTTGAGGATTTTTCATTTTACAAGCCTTGGGGGGTAGTTTCTCACTTCCACAGCTCTGTGAGCACTTTTTCAAAATTCACTTATTCCCGGTCTTACCAGGCAACATGTGCACATGGAAGCAGTAACCGAGGCAATTAAACATAGTAGTGTATAGCAACCAAACCTTGAAAGAATGTGAACAAACTCCCAATTGTCCTGAACAAAAACAATAAGAAAGTCCAAATTAGAACATATTTATATCAGGTAACTATTTTTAAACCAGTGGAAGATATGCTCTGCTGTGACTACTGATTCTCCCACAATCACAATGATTGTGATAATTAATTGTTATATTCCATTAATTATATTCCAATATTCCCACAGAACTTTAAAATTCAGAAAAGGTTTAAACACTATGCAGAAGAGTTTGTGTGAAAAGACTGGAAGATTACAGTAACATTTAAGTTTTGTAAAAGATGTGTCTCTTTCAAAAAATGTTTTCAACATTAAAAACAAACAAACAAACAAAACCTCATAGACACAGACAACAGTTTAGTGGTTACCAGAGGGTAAAAGGGTAAGTGGGTGGCAGATGAAGGTAAAAGGGATCAAACATATGGTGATGGAAGGAGAACTGACTCTGGGTGGCAAACACACAATGTGATATATAGATGATGTATTACAGAATTGTACGTTTGAAACCTATATAATTTTACTAACCATTGTCACCCCCAATAAGCTTTCATTAAAAATAAATAAATAGAAACCAATACATAAGATGCATGAAAGTGAAGTTTTTGAAACAGGGACACCAGGCCTGGGGCCCTGCCATTTGTCTCCCTTGCATCCCCTGAGTGGTTCCTGTATCTCCTCTGAGAACAACTTGAAAACCAGTTCACCATAGACCAGATTCTTTGAAAACTGCCAGTTCATGTAAGATCTCCTGAGTGGTAACTCTGAGCTCACTGGAATAGACAGTGCTCTGGGTAACGGTAACAAAAAGGTTTTCTGACCTTTTATCAGAAAACTGTGTTTGCCAGTGCTGTGTTGGTTTGACCTTGAAGAGGATCTCTCACTTCAAGGACAGAGGCCGTGTAGTATCTGGGGTTATGGTGAAGTAAAATGATGACCGACAGCACGCAGCCCGGGCTCCCATAGTGAAAGCTGTTTTGAAAAGCAGAGATCATGGCTCCCGCTCCTTGAGGCTCTAGAGTTCTTCTCTATGGTGATCTTATCTGACCAGCCTTCAGGACTATGGTCTCTCTTGTTCCCCAAAAGTGTCATTTTTTTTTTTTTTTTTTTTAAGCTGAGCCATCCTGCCACCTGTTGGCAGCTCAGCTCGAGTCGGGAATCAAACTGGCAACACTCTTGAGCGAGCTTTTAACCAACTGAGCTATCCGGCCGGCCCCCCAAAAGTGTCATTTCTGATCAAAGCTATTTGAATAAAGTAAAAAAAGTAAACATTTGCCAGACTAGAACTGTTGTGGGCTGGAATACGAAAACTATTAACAATGGCAATATTTCTCTAATTTGATGGTACAGTAAGAACCTCCCTCCCTTCCTCACAATCAAATAGCTCACAGTGTTTGAAATGGTTTGGCAGCCTCCCTTTCCACAGTAAACAATAGGTGCTGACATTTTCGACTGACCTTTCATTCTTCTGAACCAGCACATTATTTCTGGCTTGTTGGTGGCATGGAGAAAATGAAAAACGAAAGCAGTATTAATCATTTCCACATCTCTCACTGCAAGCAGTATATGGAAAAAAGTTTTTCTAAATGATCACCCATGTCCTACCTGACTCCACGAGGGTTCCTTCTAATCAAGACGGATGGGCAATTATGAGTCTCCAATACACTGCAGACCTTCAAAAAGCAATGAAAAAAGCACTTGTGTACTTTAAACTTAAATAAGGGAAGTAAAATACATCTGCATTTTTATGCACATCTTATTTTACTTACCACTACAATAAAGGACACAGTCAAAATTTTTTAAAAAATTCATTCCAGGGGACACTACATCTAATGATGATGTCATTTTTCTCCATAAACTAGGTAAACGCCCATTTTATTCAGGAATAGTCAACAGGTTTGGAAATTGCAATGATATATAAATTAAGGATTCAAATTAAGGTTTGAATATTTTAACAAGTGAAACCAATTATGGGAAGAAGTTAATATCTTATAATGAGCCAAAATTGACCTAAGAATAAGAAACCATAACAATGTCTCTCAACATACCACCGACTCAAGAGTACGTCCTTTGCATTTCCTATGCATGGAGATCATTTTTTCTCCTGTGCCCATCACCCTCTCAAACCAGAACCTGAAGACATGCGTTAAGGTAACTGGACAAGGTCAGGGGCAGTTTGTGGCAGAAAGGTCTCTGAGTATAGTACTGGCCCGCACATGCATGAAACCTGTGACTTTGGCCTCATTATAGAGAGACCTTAGAAACCACAGTCCACCTAGAATGCTGATTAACCACTAATATAATCTGCTCTGCTCACAGTGCTTATTTTCCCCTTCCATTCATCCAGCACACAATCACCTTTCTAAGCTTCGGTTTCCTTGTATCTGAAATAGGGATAATGTCTACCTCACTGGTTTGTGAGGAGTCCTTGATGTAAAGACTCTCCTCAGATAGTGCTGAGCTCATAATAAATGTTAATTCTCTGATTAAACTTGCAGTTCAACTTAAAGGTGTGTAAAAATTACTATTGCAAGATCGGTCAACTCCTCCCTGTCTCCACAGAAAAGGGACTGCCAATATGAGTGCACAGCGAGATACGGGAAAAGTATGTACAGCATCACATAAGGAAGTCTGTACAGGACCTTGTAGCAACATGCATTTGTTGAGCACGTACAAAGATGCCAGGCACTGTGCTGAACACTTACAAAGTCTGTTAATCCTTAAAACCATCTCCATCTAAAAGATGTGCAAACTCAATTTGTTTAATATTGCACCATCTCTGCAGCAGCTCTGAAAACTCTGGAGAAACTCTCAAAACTGGTTATGATCAGGTTACTCTACAGGCAGAGTACCTGCATAAATAGCCACGTAAGTCCCCTGAAAGACTACTTGGGTTGGCCACCGACTTCAGTGAATATTTCTCTGCAAGGATTAGAACTGTCAGCAGCAGCTCTGCAAGGGTGGAGATCTACTGTGTGAAGAGGGGGCTCCCAGAATACATCTTTCCAGCCATAGAAAATTGAAGCTTCTGGTGAAAAAATACCTTACTGCTCTCAAAAGTTACTCTGGTTACTGAGCGTGCCCAACGGCCATGACTAAGGGGCACTGAAGATACAAGGTAGGAAGTCAAGTGAAAAAAAAAAAAAGGTTGAATACTAAAGGAGTCACGAGCTTTTGCTGTAACCTTGGAACAACCTTGGTTGTATTAAAGTGAAGTAAATTACATAAAGAAAAAAAAGCTCTTTTTGATGTTAGGAGCAACTCAAATTTTAAGTCTATGTACAATAAATGGTAAAAACAAATTATTAGTTGCTAAAATAAGCTCCTCATGGACCCACTATCTTCTCCAGCCCTTCGATTCACCTGAAAGAGGGGAGAAGCTCCTCCCTCTGAGACAATCTGTAGGCCCTGGAGCACCCCCAGCCCCCAATTTGGCTTCAGCCAGGACTATTTGCCTTGCTGTTATATTTGCTTACACACCTTAAGGATTTTCTCTAAACAAGGTGCTAAAGAGTAGGAAAATCATTTCAGTATGTTATCCCAAAGCTAAACTACATATGATTAAACAAAATGTGTATGTTACCTGCATCTGGCCCAGACCATTTATTATTGACAGAACTCAGGCTTTTTCTAACATTAGCCCTGGTTAGATTCATACTATAGTGGTCATGTGGAGTGGTGTTGGAAGCTCCACCCAGATGTGTTTCCATAGTTACCATCTTCTCAACCACCAGTCTTCACCCAGGAATACTTACTGCCCTGGCCAGAGGCAAGCTCATGTCAAAACTGAGGAATTCAGATGTTGAATTTCAACTGTCAGTTCTAATATGTCCACTCAATCAATATGCTACAAACAGCCAAGAAGCAACTCGAGGATATCCCTAGCTAAAGCTTAGAAGAGGAAATAGCTGGAAACCATGAATGTATATATAAAAAATACAAAGTACGTTTCACACGTGTTTGATTACTTATCTCGGTACATGAAATGCACAATTCAGATAATGGGTAGCACTTCACTTATTCTATCTATGCTTGCCTGTATTTCTTCTTTACTTCTACGCTTACTAATAAGCTTTCAAAACAGGTAATTCATTATTAAAATTAAGAAAACAAAAACAGAAACCATAAATTTAGAAGCTGAAAAGCCAGTTTGCTCCTGAAATGTCTATCATATGTATTTAACTCCAGGCTTCTTTTGGGACAATATACCCAATTTAATACAGGAATTTAGTTTACAAACTAGAGGTTAAAAAAATAAAATAAAAATTCCAAAACAGTTATCTATTCATCTCATGAGAAAAATCTCTTCCTAATTAACCATACAAACTATAATTTCTAACCAGTCTTTATTTCTAAATAAACAAAAAACAAAAAGCGAACAAAAAACCAAAATCTCACATACATGAAAAACATGACCAAAGCAGACTTCAATACTTGTCAGCTGTTAGGGAAAAACAGTGAAATTTATTGTACTAATGAGGAGGTTATCCTTTATGAACCCCAAATTTAGAAAATCAGGTAGCATTCCCATAACCAAAAGTGAATAAATACAAATGAGGGAAGAGAATGTACATTTATATATTAAAATTTTCAGTCTAATTCTATTTATTTGGCAATTTATTGGCAAAAACTCTCTAATAAATGTAACTGAAAATGTGGTTTGAGGCTATAAAAGGCTTTCTACTAAAGTTAAATTTCAACTGATGCCACAATCACATTTAGTCTGGAAGCTTAGGCTAAATTTAGGAAGCTCTCATTGTAATATGTCATTTTAAATATGCAATATCACTTTTATTCAAATATATTAGCAATTTTTGGCCTATAATGTATCCATGACATTTTAAAAATCCACAAAAAATGTTAATCTGGGGCAACAACTTTTAAGAAAGTAAAAACCTTTAAAAATTTTAAAGCCATAGAAAATCAGGCTGGATGTATTTCAATTGTGGAGGAAAAAATTAATAGGATGTTAAACTATTAAATCTACATTTTTTTCCCTATGAACACAGTATGTATCTTATTTCCTTAAAACTATTTTGGAGCTAGTCAACACCCAAAAATAAAAATACTATTATTCCTATCTTGGTTTATAATTAAATAAATCAATAACGTTATCTTAGCCAGTAACACAGGTAACCTGCTTTATGTCAGACATCTAAAACTGATATAGAAGTCATCTAAAACCTTTGAAATATTAGAACTGAAGGCTTTCTGCAATTGTAAATTAATGGCTTCTGGGGGAGGAGGAAAGAAGGTACTTAAAGAGGAGACCACAACATCTTAAAATCTACAACAAAAGGGAAAAACTACTGGTACTAGTTTTTAAAACTCACAAGTCATAATAATGTAAAACAAATTTGCCATTTTACCTGATTTTCAATGTTTATACATGCAATATAAATTACAAATATTTATAACATTACATCACCATCTAAAAGAAAACAAAGATGTACAAAAATCTTTATGATAAATAAAATTATTGCATTTAATTTTATTTTCTTGAAAACCAAAATCATCAAAATCCTTAAGGTACTGAACATAAACAATATCACTTCAAGTCAGAGGAAATGTATGCTAACACCAGCTTCTGACAACAAAAATGAAGTTAAAGCCCTGCAAGTTTGTCTGATTTAGGTCAGGTAACCACGGACACAAACAAATAATTAAAATTATTTATTTTATCATTATGAACATTGAAAGAAAGCATTATAGACAGCAGAGTTCTTTCCCACCATAAAATTATTTATACCCATTTATTCAGTTAGAAACAATAGCTTGAAGAGGTACTGGTATAGTCCATTTGTAATAATTTTTCTACAGCAAACAATGATCTTATGTTGGAGCATGTTGAAGAAAATACTGTCTCCGAAGTCCTTTTTGTTCTTTTGAGTCTCAATCCCTAAAAGTTCAAAGTACTTTGACAGAATCCTGGTTTCCTGAATGGCCTGATGAATGCACTGGAATCAAGCAGTGTGTTTGTACTCCATGAAAATACTCTTAGATCCATACAAATGTTGCTTGGATGTGGAGCTCATATTTCTCCTACTGGCACTATGACATTTGAAGAACATTTGTTATGAAAGTTTCACACCAATTTTGTTTTGTTCCTTCTTCATTAGTCGCTGTGCTTCCTTTTCCATTTTCTTTCTTTGTTGTTCTGCGGCTCTCTTTTCTCTGTCTGCCATCTTCTGCTGCCTGAAAAGAAACAAACGTGTATTTTTACTTTTAGAGAATACCGCACAAGTAAAATGTCAAATACATTGCGGAAAGAAAAGAGCAGTGCTTTTTTACCATCATCAAATGTAAATAAATTCTTCACTCTTTTCCTTGCTTTGAAACTTCAAAAATTTTCAAAAACAGTATTTCTTTTAATCCTTATAACATGACTTGCAAAATAAAAGAGGTATTATCTCTATTTTACAAACAAGAAAAATGAAGCACAAAAGCTAAGTGACTTGTCCAAAGTCAAGATTAAGTGGAAGGATAAGAAGCCACATCTCCTGACCCCTCTTATTCAGATTATTTCCACTAAAACGCTACTTCCATTGAGCCACATCTTCCTTTTGATTTCTCTCAGAAAAGCCTGATATTGAGGATTAAATCCCCTGTTATTGTAATAATTAAAAAAGTCAGCTTAAGGATGTCAAAAACATAGAACAAATTGCAAAAAAAAAAAAAAGAAAAGAAAGGAAATTTAAGACATACCTTCCAACTAGAAGCTAGAAATCTATTTAAGGATTACATTTGAGCAGCTCTACTAATGAGGGGCAGGATGGTGAGTATTTACTAATTACACATTGTGAAATACTTTCCTCCTCCCTAGCCCCTCCCTAACTCCACTGCTGTAGAATCACTAAACCTCTTCTTCTTTATGGATTGATTTGTGTGAGGAGTGAGAGTAGGAGCCGGGTGATGAAATAGGACCAAGGAGAGAAACCGAAGTTGGTCCTAGATTTGAAGGCTTAGGGCATGAGAAAGTGAGTTAAGAAGCATGCAAGGTTGAGGAAGGAAGCCATAGGTCACAGCTGGGCATGGCACGGGCACCACTAGATTATATACAGAAAAACTAGTGTGGATTACCTATATACGGGACAATTGCTTATAGTCAGTGAAATACACACACACACACACACACACACACACACACACACACACACACACACACATGCACACATCTCAATCATAATTATAAATGGGATGTAAGCAGCTATGAATGACCAAAATTCCAGAAAGTAAGGACTTATTTTAGGCACATTTTGACCATCACCACCAATTAACTAAAGTTTCAAAAGAATAGTTTCTAAAAATCTACTTTTCACTAGCTCTGCTGACTTAAGCAAAACTGATCATCTGCACTAGAAAGTCAAATGCCAGTGGCAAAAAGGGGGATGGGAAAATAATTAATTATAAAATGCTGGCTAGGTTACAAACAAATAAGATAATGAAGCTTTGACCTAGTTACTAGCTGAAAATATAAACATCAACAATTAATGTTGCTGGTATAAGAGGAAGCTTAGGAGATTACTACAGACAAAATATATTTCCCCTGCCCAGATACATGCCTGGAATTCCTAACGTACCCAAATCTTCTTCCTTAACAATGCTGACCATAGAAGTGGTAGGATTTTGAAGTGATGGGAAACAGGCTAGGTTAGAGGTATGGAGCACAGATACACTTTTAAATTTCTCAATGTTCTTCTGGGGCAGTAACAATGCATGGAAGCCCCATGTCTCCGGGTCTGCTTTTGCAATTTATAACATAAAGTGTGTCTATTACTGACTAATAGTCTCCTTCTCCCAAGCTGTCATATCATGTAGAACACATCAGTTTGGGTTTTGTGGTCTTATCTTGTTCAGCATACAAGAGGATATGATGGGAAAGAGAAGGTTTTGCACAGTGAATGTTCTGATACTTGTGAACTCATATACTCTACAGCACTGTCCTTTAAGATTGATAGATTCAGGATGAACAGCCCTTTCCTTCATCCCTGTGGTTAATGACACAAATAATTACTAAAATCCCAAAAATGTTCTAAAATACTCAGACTTCAATACCGGATTTATCAAAACAGAGAGTAAAAAAAATAGATGACTTATCTTTTTTGATGATTTATCCAACATAAATGTCATTTAGAATTTCAAAAATATTTCCTTTATCATTAAATAGGAACTAAATATTTTAATCCCACAACTTTACTGACTTAAAATATGACCCCATCCTGTTTAAGAAAAAAAAAAAAAAAAGTGCTGAAAAACAGAAGGACAAGACCAAAATAGAAAGTCAGCTTGACTCCCAGTTATTTAACTGCACCCTCTGCTGGTTTGTCAAGGTAATCGTAATTTATTGACAGACAGGAAAGGAAAACACAAAAATGAAATCAGTTGTTTTGGTAAGATAACCAGATAAAGGGTAATTCATTTTCTATCCCTATTTATTATAAAAACAATATTTTAAAATATAAAAAACTTGTATAGTTGTATTTTATTATTTCATATTTAAAAATGCAAAAGTAAGCTATTTGTATGTCTTAAGAAGCATTTAAAAATGCAAAAGTAATTTAGATACATTTAAACACCTGAGTTTTAATCAGTGATGATAGTCGTAAACTCTGTTAAGGTAAGTTTTCTTTTTACTCTTTGACTTAATTCAGCAGTAGCAAGAATTAAGCTTAGTGCTCAGAAAAACAAATAAATAAGAACATAACAAAGGAAAAAAAACTTGAAAAGCCCCAGGACAATATTTTCTTTTCTATAGAAAGGGCAGTACCTAACCTATGTTATCTACCTCATAGGGCTTTCAAGTGTATCCACTGAGATACACATGTAAATGTAGAATGCTATATAAGTCATTTTCATTCAAATTTGCAGAGCTGGGCACTATGCTAGACCACGGGGAAACAAAAATAAAGGTGTGATTTCTGACCTAGAGGAATACATAATGGTGGCTCACATTTTATAGTAGGACATTTCAAAAGGTAAGTATTTTACAGGGAATGAAGTATAAAGCATATCGTGCAATATAGTATACATATATGTAAGAGATCTCATTTGCCATTAATAAAATTATTATTCTGATGTTTCTATAATGTTTTACATTCTTAGTTTCTATGAGGTTTTAATTATACTAAATAGCATATGTAGTCTGAAATACAAAAAAAGTGTCCTATATTATCTAAAGTTCACATGAGAATCAAGAGAAATATAACAATTGGCAGAATAGCTTTCTTGACCTTAAATGCAGCATGAACAAATCTAGCTCTTCTACTCAGGTTGCAACATGAATATTTGTGCAAATACCTCAGGACTTCTTCTGCTTGCCAGGCTGCATCTTCTTCTTCTTCCCAGGCATTGGTATTTTCCTGCCAGGTATCTAAGTCACCTAATTCAGGCTACAATTTAAAAAAATATATATGATGACAGTAAAGAGACATCCTTTTCTCTACCACTCGGCTGTTAGGAAGGGCATCTTTTAAAACCTACCTCCACCCTCGGCACCACTGTGTCTCTCCCCTCACCTCGTCCTATACGTGGCCCAGAGGATCTGGCACCTGGTGTGCCTGGAACTGAGGGCTTTCCCGTGATGCACGCCTATCAGTACTCAACAGTCCTGGGCAGTCCAGGTTTCTTCCTATTTTGTTTTAAAGAACACTCCTTTTGTATCAACTTGTCTACTTTCGTTTGGAATGGAAGAGAACAGAACACTTCCTCTTTCTATTTCCCCCTTTTCAGTAACAGGAAGGGCTGGGGGAAAGACAAGACTGAATTAAGAGTCTGGACTACGCTCTGCTGGGAGATGAACAGAAGGACTGAAGTTTCCAATCTAGCACAGTCATCTTCATTTCAGCATAATTTATAGATTTTTCAGTGGCAGGTACTGTCTAGGTCCTAGGCAAAAATAACAAATCAGGCAAATTCTACTCTTTATCGAAGCACTTCTATATTGTGCTTCTTTTGCCTGTCCTACTTCCCTGATAACATCAGGCTGGCCACTACCTTCCACTATGCCCCAGGCCAAATCTCTACAAGTTTACTGTTTTTCCTTCCCCAAACCAGCGAAAATGCTCATTCTGGAATGTTTAATTGCACATGAAGTGATTATGTGAATAAAGTAACTGGCACCAATCTAGCAATAGATTTATTATATTCTTTTTGAGCACTTACACCTAAAAATGAAATAAAATGTGTTGAATTTTCTCCTCCCAATCATAAATGTAATACCATGCTGTTAAAAAAAAATTTTAAGTATTTCTAATTATTTCTTTAATATAATTTAATATAATAAAGACAAGAATTCCTAAATCGAAGAAGAGAAGGATTTTTAAAGCCACTGAAGCACAATACAACTGACTGTCTTGAAAAATTATACGAACTTTCCTCCCGACAGTAGATGCAAGTCTTACTTCCTTGTACCTTTGTCAATACTGGTACAATAGCCTTCTTTTTGATCTTTGCTAATTTGTTAAGATTTAAAAATGGTATCTTGTTATTTTACTTTGAATTTGAGAGCTAATAAGATCAAACATTTTTTCATGTTAGCAGATTATATTTATTTCTTATTTATCCATTATTCCACTGAGGTATTTGACTTTCAGTGTATAAACATTTACATATAAAAAGATAAAATTACTTAAGAACATAAAAAGCAATGATATCTGGGCTGGCCAAGTGGCTCAGTTGGTTAAGAGCTTGCTCAAGAGTGTGAGCTATGAGCAACAGGGTCACTGGTTTGATTCCTACATGGGCAGGTAAGCTGCGCCAGAGCTGAGCTGCCGTTGAGCTGCCAACAGGTGGCAGGATGGCTCAGCTGGTGGAAGCAGTGCTCCTAACAACAAGACTTCCTGCTTGATGGTGGGTTACGCCCGCCAGCAACTAAGACTGAACTCAGCAACTTGAGCTGAGCTGCCACCCCGATGGCTCAGTGGATAGAGCACTGCGCTCTTAACAACAAGGCTGCCGATTCAAATCCCGCATGGGATGGTGGCTACGCCCACCCGCAACTAATTGAACACAGCAGTGGGACTAGACTTGGAGCTGAGCTTGCTGCGCCCTCCACAATTAAGATTGAAGGACAACTTGACTGTTCCCCTTCCCCAACATTGTCCCCCTCCCCCAATTCCCCAATAAAAAAATCTAAAAAAAAAAATGATATCTGATCCTTCAGTAGAGATGGTCTTCTAAGTAAAAAAGTGGGAGTTGTAAAGGATAAGGTTGATAGATTTGCTACATAAAAACTAAATGCATCTGCCCATCAAAAACATCCAAACCAAATTATAAATGCCAACAACAAACTGAAAAATAGTAAACGATGACAGAAAAAAGTTAACATCCTTAGTATAGAAAGTTATCACAACAATACAAATAATAAATTTCAGGAAAAAAATGCAGCATGTGCAATTTAAAAGAAGAACCTAATTGTCGAATGGGTGGTAAAATATTTTTGGAGAGAACAAAGTACATACAGTAGGTTGCCCTTCTCTCCTAGGCAATGACCCTTTATTTTGTCTGCTTGGGAAGAAAATATGTGGAAAAAGCATTGGAGGCATTCTCCATTTACCCTATTTACCCCTTCCTTCCCAACTCTGTAAGTGGTTATATATTTACAACTTCATAATCAGGTACATTAGTGCTATAATAACTTACAATTACAGTTAGGCGGCATACATGTACTAATTCACTAGGAGGTCTGAATGACTACCAATATGGAGCACACATATATGAAATGCTTACAATTTAGAAATATAAAATTAAACATTATACATTCTGATGCTATGCTCTTTTAAAGAAGTATCTATAGTGTTATTATGCTCTCACAACACTATGTAACTGCAAAGAAGTTATCAAATTTTACAATATTTATCTGTATGATCACTTCTTTAATATTGTGTCTCCCACACAAGAATGTGTTCTTCTGAGGCCAGGATGCTGCCTGCTTTACTTACTTTCCACTACATTGCTAGCACCCAGCAAAGCTGAGTCTGGCATTAGTACGAATAGCTTTTGATCAATGAATTAAAAACATATATAAACCCAGATGCCCTAGAGAGAGGGGTTTCAAAAATGCCTATGCAGTTTAAACAAATAAAAATAATAGACAAATAGACAGATGTGGTGGTTTAAAACTATGTCTGCAAATTTTTTGTCACTCCTTTCTTTAAGAGTCGGAGCTTAATTCCTCTCCCCTATGCATATGGGCTGCATTTAATGACTAGCTTGCAATGAATAAAATAACATGGAGGTGACAGTGTGTCACTTATAGGACCAAGTCATAAACAAGCACTGTGGCTTCACCCCTGCATGCGCTCTCTCTTTTCCTCAGGGATCCCTTGTTCTGGGAAAGTGAGCAGTTACTGTTACAAGGAAGCTCAAGCAGCCCTATGGAGAACTCCGTGGCAATGAACTGAGGCTTCATACAAACAATCAGCATTAATTTGCCAGGCAGGTCCGTGAGCCACCTTCGAAATGAATCCTTCAATTCCAATCCAGCCTTCAGATGACAACAGCCCCAGCTAATGACTTGTCTGGAAATTCATTATTAACCCTGAGCCAGAGCCACCCAGTTTAAGTCACCCCTGGATTCCTGATTCACAGAAATAGTAATTGGTAAAAAATGTTTATTATTTTAAGCCACTAAGTGTGGGGTTGTTATAAAACAATAGATGACTCATGTAATCAATTAATCGATAATTAATCAATCAGAGCATGTTTAAGCATAGGTCTGGAAAAGGGTCTGGACACTGGTGTTTCGAAAAGTTCAAAGGGGATTCTGATACACTTCCAAGGTTGAGAACCATAGTTATATACTTTTCTCACTACTTTTGTCTTTAAAGGTGCTTCATTTAAGTCAAACCCATTTTAAGTCAAATCACACTTAAATTATAAATACATCTAGTAGGAAACCAAGGTTAAATTTTAGTGGTGATCTCTTTAAAGGTCATATTTTCAAATAACATTTTGTTTCTTTTAATGTGTACAATGGGACTCTGATGTTTGCATCTTATGTAATTACAATTTCATAAAAGGACAGGGTTAGTAAAATTATACATTAACCTCTCTCAATCTGTTAAACCTGTTTCAAAGTCACAAAAATACAAATACTAAGTTCAATCTATTTCGATTTTTTTTCTTCTTTAAAGAAAACAGAAAAAAAAAACAAGCCCTTGCCTAGATATCATTAATGTACTTACCGATTGATGAATAAAAGGCATATCTTGTGTAGCTGCTAATCTACTAGAGAAACCTGTGCTTCCATCTGGGATGCCAAAATTTAATGGTTCTCTCTTCTTAATAATGATCTGCAAGAGTAAATGAAAATAGAATTGTAGAAATATTTTACATATCACTATAAAAATAGACAAAATAATTAACTGATTAAAGCATTTTACAATTATTTAAAATATGCTCTGCTGTTCCTCTTTTAAAATTTACAAATGTAAAAATTTTTTTAAATGGTCTATAAAAAGTACCAAAATTCCCAGGCAACTGTCACACAAATCAGTTTTGTACCAAGAAACACTGTATTTCACTTTAAAAACATAATAATAAATTTTCCTCTTCCTCCTTCCTCTTTCCCTACTCTCCCTAGACCCCCCAAATGTAATTAGGAACATTGTCACGGTATTAAATAAGAACATGTATCACGTCCAATCACAAGTATAACCAGGTCTCAAGCATGTGGCTATCTATGAATACATTAACTCTTTCAGGCCAATGGCATTAGTTTTGTAGCTTAAAAGCACTTTTATTCTAATTAATTTATTAAGGTACTACCATAATTTACTGGTCCTATTAAGAGCAGCAATATATTTCCACAATAAAAGGTATTCATCTACTAAGAAACTCAGTTAAACTCCTTGAAAAATACACAACTTAATGCTTTTCGGCACTGAGACTCTGAACTTAACAAAAACAATTATGATTACAGAATGTAAATGTTATTGGCCTTAAAAATGTAAAACTTTATAAATGTATAGCTGAAACTGGGTGAAAGGTAGAAGAGGCTGAGAAACCCTATTAGAGACCGTGGAATAAACAATGTCCTCATTTTATAAAGTGTTTCTCAGAGACTTGCATCAGTTTGAAAATGGTTACAAACAATGGAAAGCACGTATCAGTTTGTAGACATCACTAAACCGTGAACTCTTTAAAGGTTAAAACTATATTTTATTCAGCTTAGTCTCCACAGCAGACACTGGAGTCTAGACTCTGATATATAGAATTTCAATAAACGCTTAGATATTATTTTAAAAGGGGTACAAATTCCTAGATTTATGTCTAGGTCACTTGAATACCTAAACTTCATCTTTAACATGACACACAACAAATTAATAATTAGAAATAGGCTTTCTAACAAATACTAATTATACTAACTTTAACTATGGAAATCATAAAGTCAGTTTAATAGTTTAATCTCTAAAAGCACAAATATTTAACATACTTTCTGAGTTTTCCTTATAGTTGGTGTCATGTCCTTAAAATAGTCAGGTTCCAGTTGTTCCAAAGCATTTTCTTGTGTTGCCACATTCCCATTCCCTCCTTCAATCTTTATACTTGTGGGTGCATCTTCATCCCAGGAAGTCCACTCTTCAACATCTGTCTAAATTTAATCAATCAATATTGTCAGCCACAAAGGCAGAACCTAATTAACATCTCATTCATCATTTATTAGAAAAATAGACTTTCTAAAACATTAGTTTTCAAACTTTTTTGACCAATAGGAAAATATAAATTTTGTATCACATACTGGATCACAAAACTGGATCAAAAGTTTTAAAAAATACTTTTACTATGAGTTAGACATTCTGTTCTATCCATTAAAAGAACAAAAAACAGAATAGAACAAAACAAATGCTTTGAAAATTGAACAGACTTTAGAACTACAGCCCACAGAGGAGGTTTGGAACTTGCAACCTAAGCCTAACCAGGTTGATTGCCTGATAAAATAAAGAACATCAACATTCTTAATAGGATTTAAATAAGATAAGAGTCTCAAACATATTCAAAATGTCCATTAAAATAACTTGAAATTACTCAACTCATAAAGAATCAAGAAATCTCAACTCAAATGGAAAAAGTCAATCAGCAGATGCCAACCCCAAGGTGACATAAATGTTGGCATTATCTAAGACTTTAAAGTAATTATTATAAAAGGTTCCAACAAGCAACAGTAAACTCTTGAAACCAACAGGAAAAACCAGAAAATTATGGCAAAAAAGAAAATAAAATAAAGGACCAAATAAAAATTTTAGACTAAAATTATTTAACAATAAAAGTTCAGACCCTGATCACCAAATTAATTTTGTGACATGTTAATGATCTGAAATCCTGTTTGAAAAATATGGTTCTGGAACACTTACTGAAACCTTAAAAAAAAATTACCTGTTTAGGAACTGATGAATAATCAACTATGGTTGGCAAAGTTATTTGGTCTCCACTTAACTTCCGTCCTCTGCCAGATCTGAAAGAAAAATAAAATAATTTATTTCAAAAACTACCAAAAGAAGCATAAAAGCACTATGGAAAGTAACTTAAGGTTTATAAAAGAAGATCCTTTTCAACTTTAGAATTATTTAATAATTAACAGTTGCTCATTAAGATATGAAATGCAAAGGCATGTAACAGGTATCTTTTAAATGCTTTTAAAATCTTGGAACAGACAACATACCTGCTTTTTGGTTTCGGACTCAAAATTATAGAGAAACTCAGGACTAATATAAAGCCAAAAATAAAAATGCAAAATGGTTTCAAGCAATGCTCCTTATACGACTGAGTTCTGTATTTGAAGCTCTGGGACTCATGTGTTGTTTTAACCAGATTGGCTTGGATTTTGTTTGTTCTGCGTATTTGGTTTCTTAGTAAGATTACCTATTAAACCAATAAAGTGTTTGAAAATCATTGTATTGAACTAAACTGTAACTGATAAATTTTAAGGATTAGTAGGAAAAGTGTTATTTTAAACAAGATAGATATTATAACTCAGTTGTTAAAAGCATGGGTTATGGGGGCCAGCTGAGTGGCTCCTTGGTTAAGAAAGAGTTGGCTTTGGAGCACGAGCTCTGAGCAGCAAGGCCACTGGTTCGGATCCCACATGGGCCAGTGATGCTGCACCCTCTACAGCTAAGATGGTGAACAACAGCTCGACCTGGAGCTGGGCTGCCGTGAGTCGCCAGCAACGGCGTAGGCTGCAGCGGGGCTGGAGTGGGCTGCCGTGAAACTACCGTGAGCGGCCGGCAGGTGGCATGAGCTGCCATGAGCTGCTGTCCAATGGCCGGCGACCGATATGCCTCAGCCGGGAAGAGCGCAATGATCACAACACCAACATGGGCCAGTGAAGTGACGTCCTCCATAACTAGACTGAAGAACAAAAGGAAAGCAACTTGTCTGTTCCCCTTCCCTGATTCCCCAATGCTGTTCCCTCCCCCAATTCCCCAATAAGAAAAAAAAAACATGGGCTATGGAATCTGTGTAAACTATGGTTTTCAATGTCAATGTCATTTCTATAATTATAAGTCTAATTAGAATTACCTAACCTTCTAGCCTCATATCCTCATCTGTAAAAAGGAGGTATTCAAAACTACTTTTGTAGGGTTGTTGTAAGGATTTAATTACGTGACATGTGTAAAGCAGCTAGACATTAGACAGTGCATGCTATATTACAAGATGTTAAAAAAAGGTAGTGATTATAAATGATCAGTCACTTGCTTAACTACAAAAATCTATAAAGCATCTACTTAGAGCTAATTAGTAAAGTCAGCTATTTTTAATTACAAGATTAGAAATCATACTTTATTTGTTTAAACAATACATTGAAAAGTAATAGTCAACTATTAAATTTATGATATAAACCTGATATTTTCAAATAAATGATCCAGGTTCCTTCTGACACTTAAGAAAAGCTTATTGTGACAACAGAAATGTCCTTAATATTTTTAAAGTCAAATGCAATTTTTTATACGACAAGTAATCTATATTCAATAGAAGTTTTAGAAAATACAGATTGAAAGAGAAAAACACCTGTAATTTTCACCGTTAACTCTACTTTTAAAACAAAATTTTTTTTAATTCAATTTAATGGGGTGACAATGGTTAATAAAATTACATATGTGTCAAGTGTACATTTCTACAATACATCATCTATATATCACATTGTGTGCTCACAACTACTTCTTTTAACCTCTGGCTTTCTGGCAATTAATATCCATTCTTATCCAGTTTTACCTAGTGAATTTTTGGCCATTGTTCTCATGCTCTGAATGATTTTGAGCACTTAGTTTACTTTTTTCCCTACTTCCCAAATCCTGTTTTCTTCCTGGATGATTTCAACAATCACCTAAATTTACCATTTCTTTCTTGGCCTCTCCTTTCCCCACAATCATCTACACTCATTACCATTGCCATATCCTAGACCGCCTTTTTGATATTCCAGACCACTCGATTTCTAACAACCAATTCACTGCCATTTAATCCTCAGTTTTAGTAGCTATAAAATGGCCATTTTGCCACAGAATACATTTTCTTGCCTCCCTTGCAGCTAGATGGCCACATAAGACTAATTCTGGATAGCAAGCTGAGACCAGAATTGTTCTGTGCAACTTCTAAATCATGTCCACTAAAAAGAGAGCTGATTGCCCTCCAATTCCTCTTTTACTTTACCCTCCACATAGTGCGTCAGAATTTTTTCACAGTACCCCTAGGCCAAAAGTAATACTCAACAGTTCCATTAAGAAGTTAGGCCCCAACAATTTCATGCTATGTATGTCCTAACCGCTTAGTGGCCGTTTGAAAAAAAATAACACATACAGTATTAAAGAAAAAATAATATTATTACTTCATTCTTAAGTAACCCCAATTAGTTACTAAAGGAATGTGCATGTTATTGGACACTATACAGCCTCTCAAGCCCTGGAATCAGACTGGATACCACCACCCTCATTTTCTGTTCCATATTAATTTTACTTTAGTATTTGCTTTTAATTGCAAACTAAAAACCTAGCTTTGCAAAGACAGGCCACCTAAAAATATGAGTAAACTAAAACTTATCTCAAACATTCAAGAACATCATCAAATGTAATACTGCAGGATCTGAAGTTGCAAATGTGAACTACCTTGAGCCAGTAGTTTGTGTATCGTTTACAAGATGTTGACTGTCATAGTCAGTGTGTTTTGCTGGAAAATTAAAACTATCCTATGGCACGCCTATGAGTTTATTGCAAAGCCCCGAAGTGCCTTAGCACACAGTTTAGGAACAGTATAGCTTTTGGGTATGGAAATAAGACATACAGAAGGAATTTCAGTCTCTGGATGACTTACTGAAGCAGGATGACCTATTTACCCCAGGCTACCTGGGCATTCTGGAGTATTAAGAGACTAAAAAAAAAAAAAAAAAAAATTTGTGTTTCTCTGTTAAATGTTTTCAAAATATAAAAATAACATTCATATTATAGTCTATAAAGAAATACCTATGCCTAATTCCACCTAAGCATCTTAAAACATTCTGATAATGAAACAGTTATGCACATAAAAACTCTCTAATGACTACAGTAATAAAAGGTGGTTTATCTCTGAAATTCTATACTACCAAAAATGTTATTTTAATGTAAGATACAAAAATTTGAAAGAACAAATAGAACTGAATCTCTACTATCTAGGTCTGAAGTAGAGAAAAAATATTTTAAAAATACTAGAGATTAGTGAATGAATACTGCAATCAAGATTTTTAGTTTAAATATAGTCTGTCCTTCTGTTTTATAGTTATGAAGGTATCCAAAACTAGGAAGAAGATAAACATGTCAGTGTGAACATAAAATTTGCTTACCTGCATATTAATTTCTTTAGGAATGAGAATATTGTTGCTAAGCAGGTACAAACTTTAAATAACCGAAACTGTGTGATAGCCATGGTGGGAATCAAAACCTGTGGGGAAAAACACAAAAATAAGTACATTAAATTGATTTCACAAGCTATACTCCCGTTCTGAATTCAACCTGAAAAGTCCTATGATAAGCTGTGAAAATCAGACATATTTTTTACTTTTCTTTATAAATCACAAATATAACAGTAAGCTTAAAATTAAAATGTAAATCATGGGAGGTCCAACATGGCAAAGGCATAGGAGGGCACTGAACTCACTCTCTCTCATAAGCAAACTCAAATATACACGTATATAGACAACAATTACTCCTGAGAGACAATGAGGGCTAAAGGAACATAGTATTGAAAGCCCTGGTCATAGTAATCAGACAATAGAAATAAAAGGCATCCAAATCAGAAAGGAAGAAGTAAAACTCACATTATTTATAGATGACATGATACTATATATAGAAAACCCTAAAGACTCTTCCAAATGTAATTCACCATATTAACAAGCTAAATAAAAAGAAAAACCCTATCCTCATCTCAGTAGAAAAAGAAAAAGGATTTCACAAAACCTAAAATCTATCCCTGATAAAAACTCACAACCAACTAGGAATAGAAGGGAACTTTCTCAACCTGATCAAGAACATCTATAAAAAACCTATAGTAATACGAGACTTAATGGTGAAAACTGGACAATTCCCACCTAAGATTATGAACAACACAAGCATGTCTGCTTCCACAGCTTCTATTCAACACTCTAGTGGAGGTTCTGGGCAGTGCAATCAAGAAAGAAAAGGAAATAAAAAGCATGCAGATTGGAAAGGAAGTAAAACTGTGTTTGTGTATGTAGAAAACTCAATGCACTCTACAATCAACTGTATTTTTATATGTTTGCAACAATCACACATTGAAATTTAAAGTAACGTTTATAAGAGCACAAAAATAATGATATACTTAGAGGCAGATCTGCTGAAAGCCTTGTATACTGAAGACTATAAAATATTGCTGAAATTTAAAAGACCTGAATTAATTTAAAGAGATCGTTCAGGGTTCAACAACTCAATATTGTGAAGATATCAAGTCTCCCTATAAATTGAACTACAGATTCTACGCAATCTCAATCAAAATCTCAGCAGGCTTCTTCCCTCTAAAACTTGACAAGCTAATTCTAAAATTCATATGGAAATTCAAAAGACTTGTAACAGACAAAACAACGTTGAAAAAGAACAAAGAAGAAGGGCTAATACTATCTCATTTCAAGGCTTGTTATAAAGCTACAGTAATCAAAATGGCATAGTACTGGAAGTAAGAATGACAAATAAATCAATGGAACAGAATGGAAGGTGCAGAAATAGACCTCCATACAAACAGGCAACTGAAATTTGACAAAGATGTGAAGGCAGTTCAGTGGAGAAAGGACAGTCTTTTTGACAAATAGCTCTGGAAAAATTAGATATTCATATGCAAAAAAAAAAAGGAAAACCTTAAATCTGTATCTCATGCCACTTACAAAAAGGATCCAAAATGTATCATAGACTTAAATGTAAAACATAAAACTACAAAACTTCTAGGAAAAACAGAAATAGGACAAAACCTTTGTGACCCTGGGTTAGGCAAAGTTTTTTAGGTATGACACCAGAAGTACAATCCATAAAAGAAAAACTGATAATTAGGCTTCATCAAAATAAAAAACTTCTGGGGTAACCGGTTAGCTCAGGTGGTTAGAGAGCAGGTTCATAGCATCAGGGCTGCCAGTTCGATTCCCACATCTAGATTTCCACAATTAGGTTGAAGACAATTCATTGACTTGGAGCCAATGGGTCCTGGAAAAACGCCCTCCACGACTAGATTAAAACAACTACTTGACTTGGAGCTGATGGGTCCTGGAGTGACACACTGTTCCCCAATAAAATCTCTTAAAAAGAAAAAATTAAAAACTTCTACCATTCAAAAACAATTAAGAGAATGAAAAGACAAGCCACAGATTGAGAGAAAATTTTTGCAAAGCATATAACTGATAAAGGACTCGCATCCAGAATATGTAAGAACTTCTCAAAACTCAGTAAGAAAACAAATAACCTAATTAAAAATGGGCAATAGGTGTGCATAGACACTTCACCAAAGAAGACACACCAGGGGTGCCAAAAAATGTATCAACATGACTTGTAATCATCTTTTGTTATCGGTATCTATTATTACAATTTTAATACAGCTGTTTCCTTTCTTAAAATGTGTATACATTTTATGGTACCCTCTGGACAATGGTAAATAAGTACATAAAACGATGGTCTACATCATTAATCAGAGAAATGCAAATTAAAACCACAGTTAAAAACCATTACACACCTATTAGAATGATTCAAATGAAAGATAATGACCATACTAAGTACCAGTGAGGATGCAGAGCAACTATAACTTTCAAACACTGGTAGTAGGGACGTAAAATGGTATAGCCATTTTGGAAAACAGTTGGTGGTTTCTTACAAAGTTAAACAAACATGTACCATATGACCCAGCCATTCTATTCCTAGGAATTTACCTTAGATAAATAAAACATTACCCATAGAAAAACTTGTTATACTTGAATACATTTATTTTTAATAGCTCCAAACTGGAAACAACCCAAATATACATCAACTGGTGAACAGATAAACAAATTGTGGTATAAACAGACAATAGACTACTACTCAACAATAAAAAGGAATTAAATTACTACAGTAAACAACAGCATGGCTATACGTCAAAATAATTATGCTGAATGAAAGAAGTCAGACAAAAAAGTATAGTGTATGATTCCATATATTTTTTAAAACGCTACAAAATACACACAAATCTATACTTACAGATAGTAGGTCAGCGGTGCCTTGGGAATGGGGTAGGGAAGGGTGGGGAAGGATGAATTATAAGAGGCATGAGTCAACTTTTGGAGCTAATGGATAAACTTACTATTTTGTTTATGGTGATGGTTTCGTAAGTGTGTCAAACTGATCAAATGGTACATTTTAAATATGTGCAGTTTATTATATGTCAATATAGCTCAAAAGTCTATTTAAAAGAATCTATGCTAATAAGACATTGTTTAGCAATATTATACCACTTAGGGAAGTTTTCAAATTCTGAATAGAATCTTAAAAGAAGTCATTGTACCATCATTTTGTATTGATTATACGTAACTCTTTCTGAAGAGCCAACTTCCATTAATATTTAAGGACTGGCGAGAAGGGTGGGTCTCAGGATATACAGTAGTCTCCCCTTATCTATGGTTTTGCTTTCCGCAGTTTCAGTTACTCGCAGTAACTGATATTACCAGTAATAAATGGAAAATTACAGAAAAAAAAATTCCTAAGTTTTAACTTGCACACCGTTGTGAGTAGCATAATGAAATCTCGTGCCACTCATGCCATCGCACCCGGGGATGAATCATCCCTTTGTCTAGCGTATCCACACTGTATACGCTATGCTACCTGCCTGTTAGTCACTTAGTAGCTGTCTGGGTTATCAGATCCACTATCCTGGCATCGAAGTGCTTGAGTTCAAGTAGCCTTTATTTGACTTAATGCCACATTCACGTAACTTTTATTGCAGTGTATTGTTATAACTTCTATTTTGCTATTAGTTATTAATTTCTACTGTGCATAATTTATAAATTAAACTTTACCATAGACTTTACGTACGGGAAAAAACCATAGTATATATAGAGTTCTGTGCCATCTGCACGGTTTTAGGCATCCACTGCGGGTCTTGAAAAGTATCCCCTGTGGATAAGGGGGGACTGCTGTATATGAATGAAGAGTGAAGAATAAATTTCATATGCAGTCTTGGTAACCATGATCACTTTGCCACAAATATTGTTTGTCATTGTTCAATAAACATTTTCTAACTTGAATGACTTCAATGGTAACTGGAAACAAAATTTCTAGTTATTCTATCAGAAAAACAGAAAGTGGAACTATTATTGACAACACAATAGCATTCTCTCCCTAGCAATTACGAATGTTCTCATTTTAAGGAAAATTTGCTTTTATGATTAATAAAAGAAAGGAACCAATATTCATTGACCAGCTACTGTGTGCCAAGCTTTATCTAAATATTATCTCACTTAACACATAAATCCATCTTATGAGATAGATATTATTGTTCTCATTTCATACAACTGAAGCAAAAAGTAAGCACATTTCCATGTTCCCACACCCAGTGACTTAGATTCAAACCTAGGTCTATTTAATTCAAAAGCCAAGAATAATACCTCACTAACAATAAATATTCTTAGTAATTCAGTGATGACATTGTAATTTCCAAGATTAATTTTCCAACCAGCTGCACTGAAATGGGGTAACTGCAATGAAGTTAACTATCAAGCAACACTTGATTTTATCAATTATACTGATTTGCAGGCAGGAATGTTCTCTGGGATCCATATTTATTTAATGTTCCAATTCAATTCAATGAATATATACCTATATAATATATATAGGTATGTATATGTATGTATATAGAGGGTGCTAAAAAAAAGTATACGTATTTTTAAAAAGGAAAAGAAACTGTATTAAATTGTAATACTTGATATATACTGATAACAAAAGGAATATAAGTCATGTGTATACATTTTTTTGGTACCCCCAGTATGTATATGTATATATATATATATATGCACATACATACATATATATGTGTATGCATGTATGTATGTATATTCAGCACCTATTATGTAACAGATTCTACTATGAATGATGGGAGACACTACTGACCAAGTACAAAGAAACTCTGTGTTCACTGCTCAATTGTCACCAGCAAGGGACAACCGACGCAGGCCCCCCCCCCCATCAGTCTAGCTCAGTTTAGAATTTCTAGGCCTTGGCCAATGCCAAGCGCACAATAGTAGGTGATTCAAATATCTGTTGAATGAAGGGAAATTAACATTCCTTCAGCACTCAGTATGTTCAAGGTATAGTACAACACAGTGCATGTTCTATGGCCTCATTGGAATCCTAAGAACAAACAAAGGAGGTAAGTTTCACTACTCCCTTTTAACAGATGAGGCTGACAATGACATTCAAAGAGACTGACCCCTAAGCTCAGTCTCTTCCCACATCATATCCCATTTGAGAAACCTTTAATTTTATACTCATTTTGATTTTTTAAATGCCCTTTGGATAGATCATCAACTTGACAAGCATGCATCTTAGGTTAATTTGCACTTTGGTTGCTTCTACTTTCTACAGCTGAGAAATGCTAACATAACCTAATTTTAAAATTAAAATGCCCTTAAAAATTACTAGGAAAATACAAAAACTTGAAATACAGCAGAATACGTTTCAGACCCATGAAGCAACCAATCTTCAGGGCTTTTGGAGAAATGACAGCTCCAGGAAAGCAATAAGAATGACACCTCAGCTATGTCAAGCGAGAGAGATTCACCCACAATTTTAAAAAAGAATTCTGCATTAGAAACTTAAAGATTAAATGTTAACTTTCCTCCTGGTAATTCCACTTAACTTCTGGGGAGGTCCGTTGAGTCACTGTACTACAATTTGTTAAACAAGCCAAGCCAAAACCTGCGTTGGTACACACTGGAGTAAAAAAGTCATCAACTGCTATATTTCTATACATTTCGAATTGCTTAATACCAAAATCTGAAAAACTCTCTGGAGTAGGATAAGAACTATTGCAAGGCTCCAAAATAAAATTTACCTAGACTCACTTAAATTTCAAAAACCAAAGCTCAGCAGCGGTAAGAGAAGGGGGACTAGAAATAGAACGTGGCAATGGTTCTGAGTCGAACACTGTGCCATCCTGGCAACTCCAAGGCAGGCCCTCCAATATGGGACACCAGTAAGACTCGTGCAAAGGCACAGTAAGGTCTCCGGAATGACTCAAAAGGGAGTTTCATTATAGAATGCTTTACAACTTCAGATTACCCACCTGAAACTGATGAAACACAAGATCATACCCACTGTACGGATGAGAGAAACGACAAGAGCGTTTCCAGGTTACCCCATCTGACGCCATGAGCACGGCGTTTTGTGAAACGCTCTAAATTACTGGAAGTGTGTGCCGCGTGGGCTGGGATTTGGATTTTGGAAAAATCTGTCTGGGAAGGAGCAAGGTCTGTAGAGGAAGGGCAGAGAGGTCGGGCAAATTTCCCCGCGGAGGGCGAATATGGGGTTCCGGGGTTTTTCGGGCCGGTGGCCCACGGGCCGACCTCCGGCGGGTGAGCGCAGCATGGTGAGGGCAGCACGCCAGCGGCCTCCTCCTTGTCACCGTTCCCCCCCAGAGGTCACCCTGACCCGGAAACAATACCCCAGAATGGCAGTCGACCATGGGGGGGAAACCATCTGGAAGGGCGAAAAGGAAGGTGAGAGGGCGGGAAGTGCAGGGCGAAGACGAAGGCTGACCAGAGAAGGGCAGATGACACCCTAAGGCTGGGGGTGGGCTCGGGGTGGGGGTGGGGGAGGGAAGCCCATCGCGGGCGCGCGCGAGCCGCACACACTCACCTGCCCCTCCCCCTCCCCGCCCGCCGGGCAGAGGCTCCGAGCTGCTGCGGGCCACGCGCGCGCACGCGGCGCGCGCACGCGCGCTGCCGGTCGCTTCTTCGAGCTCGCGCTCGGCCCGTTCAGTCCCAACCCCGCTCATTCAAAGCCGGGCGCGCGCTCCGTCGCAGGCGCCGTTGACGCCGCGCAGCAGCCATGGCCTCCCCCTCTTCTGGAAACCCTGCCCCCGCTCCCCCTCCTTCGGCCTACTTGAACGCGGCTCTTGGTTGTCTCCAGGCCCTCACTTCTGCACCCCGCCCCATGTCCTGTCTGGCCCAATAGGCGAGAGGCTTCGTAGGGGCTGCGAGCCAATGAGAGCTGGAGGGGCGGGGCGAGCCGCGGCAGGCGCGGCTGCGGCTGCGGCTGCGGCTAGGTCTGGAGTTAGGTTTTTTGTGACTGTTGCTGTCAGTAAGGACTGTTCCTTCGGGGAGCGTCGGAGTTGGTTCCGTGTGGCCCTGCTTTCTATACAGAGGGCCTTCGCTCCAGCCATGTTCCTTAACGCTCCACCCACAAAGTCTCCCTACCACTAGGGACCAAAGGAAAGCAGTGTTTAGATTGCAAAAAATGAGGGAACGCCCGCTGTCTCGGGGTGTTTTAAATGTGGGTAGGCCAGATCTCAGTCATTCTGCCTCCTAAAGGGTGCGAAATGCTGAGTTGAATTTAGGACGTAGCCTCCTCCAAGTAATTTTTTATTGAATTTGCTTTAACTGGAAGTTAAAAAGTGGCACTTCACCTTGTCCTTGCACATTTGCCCTTCGCCTGCAGCCCGGGCTAGTCATTCTCCCAAACTAAGGTGTTCTTTTTTTCTGTGGTTCTTTTAGAAGCCTGATTGTTTTTTTCTGTTTTATCCCTACGTGCTATTGAAAGACTAGGGCTCTTTGGTATTGTGGGCGAGGGGCCCTCAGGAAACTATCTGCTCCAGAGCTGGCAAAGCAACTGATAAGGGAAGACAAAAGTTAATATGGTCACAGACTAAAAGCAGTTCATGCAAATATTCCTCAACCAGCACTTTCTGCGTTTTGGGGTTTTTTTTTTTTACTACAACCACCTTTGTTCCGTCACCCTGAACAGCACCCACCTACCTAACTTTCTAGAACCCGCGTTCTTAATCCGCCCCAGTCTGTACCATTTCTATTAATAATTTAAGTTGTTTATCCCCAAAAGGGGAAAAAAGGGAGTTTTTATGACTCTTGGTCTGAAATGGTTCTGTATAACTTTGGATAAGCTATTTCATCTCGAACCTTAAGTCTCCTTATCAGTAAAATGGCCATAATGGTTCCTACTTCCTGGAATGGCTAATGCTTGCTAAACTCTTGGGGCAGAGCCTAGCACAGAGCAAACATTCACAGATAAGAACTGATACCACCTGTTCTACTAATAACACTGTTTCATCATCATTCCCAGTTACCACACCTTCCTGAGTCTACTAAACCGTCTGCAGTCCCATAAACTCTCACACTAACCTTAAATCTCTTCAGTCGCCTAAATTCCAATTCCAAATTTCCAAAATGAATCCAATGATACAAAATAGCCTACATCCTGACATTAAACATGTTTTTCCTTAGAGACTTGTCTCTTTGCTTCAAATTACTTATTATACCTATATAATAGTTTTCTTTTTTTTATTCTTCAGTTTTCTTTATTTAATGTGCCAATTCAAAGTGAAATAAAAGGTATATACTTTTCCAGAAACAACTAGTTAGTGAATACTTGTTTCCCAACACAAAAATAAAACAGCTTGCCAAAGATTGTACACTTAAAATTTACTTTTAAAATTTCCATAAAAGAATATTTTAAAATCATCTTTATCTAGTTGTTGAGTAGTAATCCCTTAATTGGGCATCATAGGTGCCAATAATATGGGATCTTGCTTGGGGACCACCTCCTGGGTGGTTGTCCTCTGCAATTTGCAGTCCTCTGCCCAAGGCTTGGTGGGTGAGGGTGGGGGACTACCAAATGTCAAGTGGGAGGAGCATAAGGGATAGAACTTTATTTATGAAAAATTTCTTTCTGCATGGCCTCTACTTCAAGGAGTATAGTTAATTCTGCCTGCTTTGTGTGAAGACTGTGTTGCCCACTTGAAGGAATCTGACCTGCCTCTACCCAATCCCCAATTGCCAGCTTGATTTATTCCTTTTCGATTTATTCATTCTATCAGCTTCCAACCCACCACTCACTCTCCCAGCTTGAAGCCTGCGTAGGCTTCCTAGTTCTGAGTTCTCCAGCTGGGTCTGAGCCCTGTCCTGTGAACTGCCCTCCATCCCTTCCCTGGAGGTAGGGCAGACCTTGCAAACACAGCCTGGTGTTTCCAGATCTCCCCCAACCCAGTTCCCTGGCTTTTCACTAAAGGGACAATTTTTATCTCAGGCACAATTTTAGACCTGCTGTTCTGACTTGGACAATAAAAGCTTTTTATTAATGAGCAGCTGTTCACTGTTGAATACAGATCATAAAGTCATATTCCTTTCTTGATCAAGCAAAACAAAGCCTTGCAGCTCATTGAGTGACAGTTTTGAACAGATACATTTGAAAACAAAGGATTAACTGGTGATAATTTTAGTGGCTTGCTTTATTGATCTTTTTAATTCTAGAGAATTTTGCTTGCCTTCAATATAATACATTTTAATATTCTGGAAAGTTATTTATTAATATTCATAATCACCATTTAATAGCTAGGGTCAGTTGCTTAATACAGATACCAAAAAGTCTGAAGCAGCTTTTTTATTTCTTTTCTATTAAAAGGAAATTAACTTTACATAAAGCATTTAAATATTTTTATCATAATTATTGCTACAGCATATCTTCACTTAGTAGTAATTTTTATTGCTAAATACAGGAAGACCCAAGATAAGAACAATTTAGAGTTAACCAAGTCCCTTGGAAAAGGCCTGGGATAGGAATGGAGGAATATGTCTTTTACTAGAAATGAATTCAAATGAAAAGAGGGGTAAACCCTTCACTTCTGTGTTCCAGTGGTGAGGTCCAGCAATGTCATACCTCTTGGCTAATGTCCACATTGTTATTAGAGCTCTAATATATTTCAGTTATATTGTGAGTTAAGTAGACGATTTGAGCAGGTCTGGCAATGTAAGGCCATTTATTATTTCTAAGGATACGTGTGTTGAGGTTCATACAACAAGAATAAAACAGTAGCTTATAACATGGTCTACCTTGTATGTGTGTTGAAAACTTTAAAATAAAATATAACAACACTGAACCAGCAATGGAGGCCTGATCCATTCAGCTACAGCATGGCAGACATTGTGGCTTTTACCTTGAACAAATTTGAGGCTCAGTTTTCTCATCTGCAAAATTTGGTTAATCATTCGGCCTTAGGGATTTATATTACAGAGTAAGTAGCATAATGTATGTGGAAATGGGTTGGAAACAAAGCAATAGAATCACTGAAAGCTTTCAGGTGTATAAGTTTATCAGCTTCAAGTCCAGAATCTTCTTTTAGCTACAGCAAGGAAGAATGCTTCCATGGAAAACAGGTGAATTTTCTCTCATCAGCAACCAGAAATAGGCATATTTGTTGGTAACACATTAAAAAAGGGAAAAGAGGAGGGAACACTAAGCTTTGAAGTTACCTCTGAGTACATCCCCACACCTCCTTTGCCCCCTTTACTTTAAAGACATAGGGGAGGAGAAAGCAGCTGTTAGAAGGAGAGCACGTCCAACCCTACCCCTCCCTCTCCGTGCTTTTTCTCACTACTCATGGGATAGTTTTCTCACAACAGTATCTGTTGCCAAGTTTCATCCATTCTTCTGGGTGTCCATCATTTTAACACACCAGGATTATCATAAGGATGTCCTAACTAGTATTTTGTATTTTTCCCCTTCCTCTGAATCAGCTTGGTCCTTGCTGGGGGATTAATATAAATATTTGTAAATCACAGACTTCTTCATGGTAACAGTCCCATTCAAAATTAAGAGAGGTTTGCCGTTGTCTATCAATTCAAACTCACTTTGAAGGATGCATGTCTTCATTGTTTGTTTTTAAACTCATCATTTCAAACTGCTGCTCTTGCGTCCCCCTCTGACCACCTCTGGCCCTTTAAAATATCAGATGTATCAGCAATTCTTGTTGAAAGTGTTTGTCTGTGTATACTGTACATCGCATACAGTGAGAATTAACTCACTTTCCTGCTCATGAAATATATACTTCGTGCTGTGTTTTTATTTGAAATTAAATCCTTTATAAGGGAGAATTAAATCTATGTTATAATCACTACAAATTTTCAGCATAAAAATATGTCATTTTCCCTCTTCCTAGGGAGAACTTACATGTATAAAGGGTCATCTGCCTAAATACATAAATTACTCTAAGTAACAACCAAAGGAAAATACTCTTGCTATGTAGCCCTACAGACTCATAAATACCTTGCCCAAAAGGAATCATTTTTTTTATTTATAGGCACAGAGCCCATTACCATAGCAACCATAAATAGTTGGCCTATAACCGGGTGTGAATTTCATAGTACATTGTTATTTGAAATGTTAAGTCAGTAAATCAGGATAAAGTGCAATTCTGTAATATTTTGGAAGGATTTCTTTATCTCAGAAGTCTGACAGAGGAAAAGTTTCATTATGCTGCCTTTTTATTTGTTTACTTAGACAATTTATTCAACACTTGCCATTGGCACAGCGTGTGCTAAGCATATTAAAGAAGTCAAAAGAACACACAGCCCTGACCTAAAGGAATGTCTCTAATAAACTCAGCATGTCATGGTTAAACAGCGTTAAAAGAAGAAACTTTTTTCATAAGGAGCTGTCCAATTTTAGAATTATCTGATCATAATAACTAGAGTGTGTATTCGGGCCTGTAAAGAAGGTGGCAAGAGATTTGTAGCTGACCTGACTGCCGTAAGTATTCAAGTACCTACGAGAACCCCTATAGGGCAGGCCCCCTTTTTTTTGTTTTACACAGTGTGTCTGTAGCTACTTCCTGGGAAGGTGAAATTGGAGGAATGCATTGTAATGTTTCTTTCACTGGAGACTGGACATTTCTTGCCAGCTGGTGCCAGACTGAAGAAGCTGAAAATGCCCACTGATGAGCGTGGAAGTGTGACATGACAACTGTTTTACACAGGTTTCCCGAACCAAAGACATAATGGATTCAGGTCAAGGTTTAAGCATTTCTGTTTTGGAGGATACAGGTAATGACTTCAAAGAAGGGTGTGGTATTTGGAAACTCTTTTCT